TTTGGGAAAAAGCCACAAAAGCAGCTCGTGCGAGTCTCGTTTCTGGTCCCCAAGTGACATGTCCTGGCCACTCCCAAGGCAATCCCCACAGACTGGCACCGCTGCCCCTGAGGCAGCCTCTGCCAACGCCTGGCCTAGCCCCAGGGCCGGGCCATATCCCAGCCTGGGGGTGGCGGGGTCACAGCGCCTGCGACCCATGTTGCAAGAGAGAGGAAAGTTGGCAGGGTGGGCAGGGACGGGCCGACAACCTGTACAAGGCAGGAAACAGCTCCTGCCCCTCCAGGGATACACCCGAGGCAGGGCCCTTACCCCTTTCATGGTCACTGCTGTCTGGACCTTGGAGGCCACGGCATCCACGCGGGAAGCCATCCGAAGCCAGTTTAGCCCCTCATTCTTCTTCCGGATGGCGTTCTCGGCGTAGACGCGAGCACATTCTACGTTCTTCTGCTGAAGGGCCTGCGGCGCAGGAATAGGGAAGCCATCAGCGAGAGGAAGCCCTTTGGTTTCCTGTGTCAGCCGCAAACAGCCCCCCGCGGCCGCCTGGGCTCTTCACACGGGCGTGTGCGGGGATGGGGATTAGCAGAGCCGGCGGCAGGAAAACGCCCTAATGGTGTGAGCCCCCCGCTGGCTGGCGTCTGGCAGCAGCTAGCAAGGGGAGGGCAGGTTTGCCGGCTGTGGACAGGGTGGCCAGCACCGCGACACGCCTGCCCTGGCTGCGGTCCTGCAAGCCGGCCTGTGCGCCGGACAGGAGTAGGGCTGCAGCCCACACGCTGAGGCTTGCGGAGGGGAGTGGGGGCATTAGGGCCCCACAGAGCTGCAGAGGGCTGCTCCCTGTGCTCTGCGGGGGCTGGGGCTCAGCACATCCCAGTGTTTCCGTGCCAGCGTGCAGCCCCCCGGCAGGACATGGGCCAGAGAGAGCAGGAAGAAGCACTGCGCTGGCCCTCCCTGCTCCTGCCTGGCCCAGGCAGGTTTGAAGACACATCCCAGCTCTTCCTGCCCAGGCTGCAGCCCCACATGCCAGCCTGCAGCTGTTGTTAACAGGCGCCACCCCATCGCCCGTCTCCAAAGCCCCCTCGCATTCCAGCCAGCGGGCAGGGACTGGTCCCAGCCAGGCGCTGTTGTTAACTAGAAGCTGTTAACGCCCAGGGTGCTATTAACGGCCCAGGCACAAGCTGCATGGCGCGCCGGCGGGCAAGACACCGAGCCCAGGGGATGCTACTTTCCCCTCCGCCAGGGAGGCCCACCAAGCCCAGAGCTCAGCCCCACCTTCTTGACTTTGGCTTGCTCAGTCTTCGAGTCCTTCTCGGCCTTCTTGGCGAGCTTCTCCAGCTGCTTTGCCGTGAACTAGGAGAGGGAGACAAGGGTGCTCGGCCGCACACGGGGCAAACGCGACCACGACTGGCAGGCGCCCCCACTCTCTGC